AGACAGCAGAACGATGAAGGTAAGAAGGATAATCAACTGGGATGGTTGGGCGGGGGCGCCTCGGCCTCTGTTGACTGAGAGGGATCGTGATCCTCCAACTTGTCGGCGGGGGTGGCCCGCTAGCGGAAATCTAGGGCAATCCCGCTCATGATGTGGGGCGATGCCGCTGCCAAGCACACCAAGATGTCTAGCATGTACGTGATCTGTTGGGGCCACAAGATAGGCATTGCGTGAAAGCGGGCGCGGCAGTGCCATGGTAGGGGATGGGGCAGGAGGATAGGTTTCCTGATGGGGTTGGGTAATGATAATGACTCAGGGATATATGTTGTTGATAATAACAATGATGATCACGATGACAATGGCGATGTCCAGGCAGCAAGACGCCGTCAAGATTTTTGCAGACGCCAGTGTTCACGGTGATCCCGAAGTCAGCCTGTGTCAAGACTGCAGATTGTGACACGATCGGCGAATTGTGGCACCACTTCGCTTCCTCCATGAACGCACTATTCTACAATATCCACCCCATGCTCGACACTGCCCTCCGTCCGTGGCCCAAGGATTCGTTCGGCGACAAATTAAAAGGAGCACCCGTGTTGCCTCATGACTCGTTCGGGGTTGTTTGGGACATTCTTGGCGATTTAGACCATCACGCAAACGTCCTCGGGCTCCCGCACTGGAAGAACCCCCAGCCGTGTTGGCTCTGCCACGGGACCCAGGCGCAGTGCATGGACTTTCGCCCGCATGCAGCCTGGAAGAGCACCCTCGTCTCCCCAGAGGAAGCGTTCGCGCTGGATCGTTCCCATCCAGTTTTCAAGGTGCTTCGCGAGCAAGGCGTGTCTGACAAGGACCGCGTTTTTTTTTTTTTTTTTTTTTTTTTTTTTTTTTTTTTTTTTTTTTTTTTTTTTTTGTGTGCGTGTGTGTGCGTGCGTGTTTGCGCATGTCATCAGCACATGAACGCACGGGATATGATAATTCATATTACAGAGGGCGGCGACTAAGAAGATGAGGATTGAGGGTTGTATATTTGTGTTATAGATCTTGATGTGGTGTGGATCTGGGGAGGTGCCTCCTAAACAAGCGCAATCTCCCAGATGGTCGATGTAGGATTCATGCACACAATCGACCTCGGCGTGTTGTTGTACCTGCACGGCGGAGCCATGTGGCTGATGTGCAGGAACAACGAATATATCAATCAACGCACTCAGGAATTGCGTTGCAAGACGCTGTGGCGCATGATTCAGAAAGAGTACAAGGACCGTTTGCACACCCGAACCCTAGAGCACACGCAGTACATGGTGAGTATTCATGATAGCTGCATTACCTTGCAACGCACATCGCATCACAACGCAGTAGCACACTATATAATATAACTGGTCAAGCTGTGTTCGCCGTGTCCCCAGGACCAACAGATCGACCGTAAGCTGCCCCAGCTCAAGCTGTCTATGTTTAAGCCGCCATCGACTGTAGACTACCCTTGCCTCAAGGCGAAGGCAGCAGTATCGCGCGCCCTCGTTGGGCCGATGACGGCTGTGTGTGAGAAGGTGCTCGCGGTAGGTTCGCACGTCACGAATGCTTACAGGCTCATGCGGGATTTTTTAAGCCTTTGTCAGAAATCTGATCTGGTCCCCACCCAGAAGAGGGCCGACCTCCTCCAGAAAACGATGGAGCAATTTCTGGCTTCGTACACGTGCGCCGCCCAGAGGCAGGCCAAGAGCAGTCTAGCTGGCTTCAATCTAACGATGAAGTTTCATTTCTCGTCCCACATTGGCGACAATGCCAAGTGGGAGGTTCCAACGTTTAGCACTGAGTACGAATTCGAGGACATGGCAGGCAAAGTTGCGCGCACCTCCAGCACGTGCGCAGTGTCGCTCCCTCCAGATAGGGTTGCCCGAAAAGTGATGGCAAAGCTGTTGCTCGTCGCGCGCTTGTCTGTGACCAGGGCTTCCAGGCGTGCTTAGGGGCTCGCCATAGATCTGCGGTGACGGCATACTGGTATAATGATATCGTGATATAGCGGATGGGGAGGAGGGGGCGAGGATTAGCATTAGGGAGGGGGCGAGGATGGATATATGGAGTCGGCATGGCGACAAGAAGGCTGGCCGTCGGCGCGGGCAGGGCGGGCGGCGGCCTGCGCAGATATCTCGTCGCCGAGCTCGGTGTCCAAGTCCAACGCGGGCGGCGGGGGACGGGCCCGCACCATGCGTGTCGGAATGCCATTCGGATTCCCGAAATGGCCGCCGCCGCCGCCGTCGTCGTCGTCGCCGCCGCCGTCGTCGTCGTCGACGTCGTCGCCGCCGTCGTCGTCGCCGTCGTCGTCGTCGTCGTCGTCGTCGTCGTCGTCGTCGACCCTCTCCGTCGGCAGCCCCCTCGTCGCCACGTCTGGGCGCAGCTCGAATAACTGCGCTCCCCCTGGGCCCATCTCACTGCCGCCCGACTTGCATGCCAGTGAAATTTTACGAGGTTCGCCTGCCCTCGAGCTGGTAACTTGTTTTCAGTGCGATCTTGCTGGGCCAGTTTTTCGCTTGCTCTCTAGCTGGACCACTGCTCGCTGCTCTCCAGCTCGACTGGGGATCGGTAACTCGGTCCGCTGCGCCCTCGTCCTGAAAGAGCGGTTACTCGTACTCTGCGTCATCGTCCTCATAGTTTTTTATTTCGAAGACAAGGGTTGCATCCTCGTCGCCGCGGCTGAACGGGCCTCGGAGTACTCTGGCACTTGGGCCCCGCGAGGGGCCACGGACGCCCGAATTGGCTGCCGCCGTGGTCGTCGGCGTCGTCCGTCGTCGTCGACCCCCCCGTCTGCGGCTCCGACTGCTCTGGGAACAGGGCGGGGATCCAGGGGGGAGGATGGGATGGGGCTCGAGCGGGAGGAGGGGGCGGACTGGGGAGAGGACGGAGGAGGACGATGAAGAGAAAGTCAAGGGGGAAGAGGGGGCGGCAGAGGGGAAGAATAACGAGGAGGAGGACGCCGATATTCCTAACGCTTCGCGTAACCCCATCAGCCAATCCAGAAACGATTGCGACGATAGCTACGTGGGCAGGCAAGGAGAGAGACACATTCGTAGTTAAACGCCGCGGTGATTAAATTATGGATGTCGTAATCACTGCGGGTCCTCATCCCCCATTTCGCTCCGCCTCCTCCTCCTCCTCCTCCTCCTCCTCCTCCTCCTCCTCCCCCTATCCTACCCCCCCCTCCCGATTCCCTCCCCTCATCATCATCTCCCCCCCATCATCGCTCCTCCCGCCCCCCTCCCCAACCCCGCCTTTCGCGCTCCTCCCGCCCGAGCCCCCGCCGACCTCTCCCCCTCCCCCGAGCGCGGCGCGCATTTTCCGAGGCTGACGCCGTTCCGCCGACCCTTTAGATTTAGGGGATTGTTGTAGATGCTTTTTTTTTTTCGCGGCCGCGCGCGCGCGCGGCCCGCCGCTGTCACGCGCTGCGGTGGAGGCGCCTCGGGGTGGTTTATGCCAGAGAGACAATGCCGATCGAGGGGGAGGGCGCTTTGCCCTCCCCCATCACCCTCCCTCTCGCCGCCACTAGGGCGGCTCCATGCTGGCGAGCATATACGCGTACACGAACCCGCGCGTCATCTCCTTCCCGCTCCACGCGCACGAGCGCGCGCGCGCGCCCCTTTTCCACCCCCCCCGCCCTCCCCCATCCTTTCCCCCCTATCCCTTCCCTCCCTTCACTCCCTCACTCCCTTCACTCCCTCCCTCCCTCCCTCCTTCCCTCCCCTTCTCCCTTCCCTCCCTACCGCCTCTCCCCCCGCCCTCCGCCCATCCGCCGCCTTCATTGATATTGGTATTGATATTGATATCGATACCGATATTGATATTGGTATTGATATTGATACTGATATGGATATTGGTATTGATATGTTGTTGCTGATGTTGATATTGTTATTGGTGTTGATATCAACAATGATATTGATATTACATACCTTTGGGTATTGATACCCGTGCATATATTTTGCGGCCGATATCGTTTTGTTTGCGGAGCGCGGAGGGCATTTTTGAGATCTCAAAAATATAGGCCGCTATCATTTTGCAGCCCGCGCAGTGCGGGATATCAAAATATGGGTCTTGATATCACGCAGAGATATTGATATCGCTTAAATTGAGATTTGGATGCTTTGGGTGGGCAAGAAGCCGGTTTGGGGGAAATGGTCTTGGGCTCCCTGGGCCCCCGTGTTAGGGCGACGAGATCTATGCATATCCACTGCTCCTGACCAGGCCCATCCTGGGCCCAGGAGCGGTGTATATGCCTCCCTGGCCAAGCCAGGAGGGCGTGTACACCGCTCCTGGGCCCAGGATTGGCCTGGCCGGGAGCAGTGGACATGTAGAGATATCGTCGCCCTACGTGTGGCGCAGGGCGTGGCGCACCTCGCGGAGGGTGGCGTGGCGGCCACGGGAAGAGAAGGCACCACGGCTGCTGCGCGGCGTTGGGGAGGCTTTCGTCGCCACGGCTGCACTCGCCTCGACTTCGGGCCGGCACGCGCCCCGAGGTAGGTCCAGGGCGCCTCCTCCTCCAACTCCTCCTCCTCCTCCAACTTCTCATGCTCCTCCTCCTCCTCCTCCTCCTCCCTCCTCCTCCTCCTCCTCCTCCCTCCTCCTCCTCCTCCCTCCTCCTCCCCCTCCCCCTCCTCCTCCTCCTCCTCCTCCTCCTCCTCCCCGAGCAGCGGTATCGGTACCTTTCCCACGTCCCTTGACGATGACAGGCGTGACCAGGGGGAAGCGGGGGGCAGGGGCCGGCAACGACAGAGTTCGCGGCGGCGCCACCCAGGACCCGCGCCGGCGCGAGTCGTGACTTCACCAGGGGGGGGGGGGCCCTCCCACGTCACGGGCCGCGCCGCCGCCCCCCCCCCCCCTTTGTCCGAGGGGGGCGGGCGGGGGGGGCCGGCCACGGGCTTCTGCGCGGAAGCCAACAACAAAAAAGGCTTCCTGGCTTCCCCAGGAGGGCGGCGCGGCGGGCCTCCCGGGCGGAGGGGCGCCGGGCGCGCACGGAGGCTGCGCCTTGGAGCTGCCCGCGCGCCGGGGCGGCGGGGAGCTGCAGTTCGACCGCGTCTACCACGGCGGCGTGCCCACCGAGGCCGTGTGCGCCGACGCCCTGCTGCCGCTGGTGCAGCTGGCGCTCGCGGGCGGCTGCTGCAGCGCGGTGGTGCTGGCGGCCTGCGCCGTCGGGCGGCGGGGGCCCGCGCACGGCGCGCGCGCGAGCGGCGGCGAGGTGGAGCGGGAGCTGGGCCTCGCCGTGGCGCTGGCGCTGCTCGCGGTGCGCGCGCTCTGGTCAGCACGGGCGGAGGCCAGCCCGGCCGCTTCCTCCGTGCTGCTCTCGTGGTGCGCGCTCGGGCGAGGCCGCCCGCCCGTCGATCTGCTGCGCGGCCGAGCCCCGAGCGCGGCAAGCGCGGCGCTGCCGGGCGAGCCAGCGCCGCGCTTGCGCGAGGACCTGGTGGGCGCGGCGCTGGGGCACGGCGTGCTCGTGGACGGGCTGGTGGAGGTGGAGTTGCGCACCATGGACGAGCACAACCTGCTGAGCGTGCTCAGGGCCGGCGCCGAGGCCGCGGAGAGCGGCGAAGATGCCGAGCACGGTCTGCTCAGCCTGGCTGTGGGGCGAGGCGAGTCGCAGGCGCGAGGCCTGCTGCGGATCTTCTCGCTCAGGTGCGCCGGCGAGGGCGCTGGGAACTCGCCGCTGCAGCCCGCGCTCGAGGCCCTGCAGTTGCCGAGGCCACCGACGGCACCCGCGGGCGCTCCGCCGCTCGAGCGGCTGCTGGCCGGATGCTTCCGGCCGCTGCACCGCACCCTGCTGGTGGCCTGCGTGCCCCAAGGGTGGGACGCCGACGAGGCAGCGGTCCAGGCGTTGCGTCTCGGGGCCCAGCTGCGGTTGTCGGTATCGTTCAACCGATCCCCATCCCCATCCCCTTCGAGAAACCCCCACCGAATTGCCACCCCGGTTGGGGATGCACCCCTCGAAACCCGAAGGGAGCGACCTGTATTCCCATTTGGGGGGGTAAATCGGCTTGCGGGCCCAGGCCACGCCGCTGGTGATGGTCGGGCCGAACGAAAAGGGGGGGATAGGGAAAGGGGGGGTTACGAAATCTGCTGCATGCAGCTGGTTTCGACCCCGCCGCCGGGCCCATTCCTCGATACATGGGCGCCTCCCGACTCCGGGAGGCGCCAGGAAAATCAGCTACGTGAGCAGATTCTGAACCCCCCCCTTTGCTATCCCCCCCTTTCGCCCGGCTCTATAAACTAAGGGGGTAGATCGGCCACTGGGGCCCAGGCCACGCCGCTGGGGATGGGGATTGGTCAAACGATGCTCAGGCTGTGCGCACGGCGGCTGGCGTCCTCCCTGGGGCCGAGCGCCGCCAGCGCCAGGAGCGAGGCCGCCTGCTCGCCAGAGGGGGCCGCCGTCCATGCCCGCGCCAGCAGCAGCGGCCACTCCAGCAGCTGGGCGAGGCGGCGCGTGCGCGCAGAGGCTGCTCCTCCTCGTCGTCGTCCTCCTCCCCCCTCCTCCTCCTCCTCCTCCTCCTTCTCCTCCTCCTCCTCCTCCTCCTCCTTCTCCTCCCTCCTCCTCCTCCTCCACCTCCTCCTCCCTGCTCCTCCTCCCCTCTTCCCCCCCCTCCCTCTCCCTCCTCCTCCTCCTCCTCCTCCTCCTCCTCCTCCTCCTCCTCCTCCTACCTCCCCCTCCCCCTCCCCCTCCCCTCATCCTCCTCGTCCGTCGTCGTCGTCCTCCTCCTCCTCCTCCTCCTCCCTCCTCCTCCTCCTCCGCCTCCTCCTCCTCCCCTCCTCCTCCTCCTCCTCCTCCTCCGCCTCCTCCTCCCTCCTCCTCCTCCTCCTCCTCCTCCTCCTCCTCCTCTCCCCCCCCCAATCTCCCTCCCCCTGCCCCCTCCCAGTGAGGACTGGCAGCGAGAGCGACGGCCCACGGCTTCGACGTCGGAAGGCCTCCACCCAGAGGGTGCGAGCAGGCAAGGCGCCGTGGAGCGCTACGCCTTCTTCGACCCGCGGTGGACCTCGCGAAGATACGGCGCCAACGTCGCCGCTGCCTCCTCGCGGGTGCTCAGAGGAGGGAAAGATACCCATACCTCCACCCTCCGCCCGTTCTCCCTTTTTTGGGCCTCCTGGGCATTCCTCGTCGCCACCGCTGGATTCGCCTCGAAATCCTGGTGAGAACGCACCCCGGGAGAGGTCCGGGGAGTCCTCCTCCTCCTCCTCCTCCTCCGCCCCCTCCTCCTCCTCCTCCTCCTCCTCATCCTCCTCCTCCTCCTCCTCGAGAATGGGGGATTGTGGAGTCCCTGTGGTTCCAAAGCGCGCGCGCGAGGCTTTCGCGCTGAGTTCGCGACTGTTTCTGTGCAAACTCTGCTCTGTGTCGTCCTCCTCCTCCTCCTCCTCCGCCTCCTCCTCCTCCTCCTCCTCCTCCTCCTCCTCCTTCTCCTCCCTCTCCCCCTCCTCCTGCCTCTCTGCCTTTTTTTTTTTTTTTCTCGGCCCCCCCCCCCAGATTTTTTGTTTTTTTTTCCTGGGGGGGGGCGCCAGGAGAAACAAAAAAAATGCGACGTGGCCACATCTGCCCTCCCCCCTAGAAGGATTCCTATCGAACGCCCCTATAAGACGGATTTACAGTGAAATCCTCGACAGAAGGGTTCCTATCGAAACCCTCCACTGAATGATTCCGACTGAAATCCTCCACATGTGGATTCCTACTGAAACCCTCCACTGAATGATTCCTACTGAAATCCTCGAATGGCAATGGCAAGGGCAATGGTAATGGTAATGACAGTGGTAATGGTAATGGTACTGGCAATGGTTACGGTAATGATAGTGGTAACGGGGTAGCGAGGCAATGGCAATGGCAACGGGAATGGTAATGGCAATGGCAATGGCAATGGCAATGACAATGCCAATGGCAATGCCAATGGCAATGGTAATGGCCATGGCAATGGTAGTGGTAATGGTGAGGGTAAAGGTAAAGGTAGAGGTAAAGGTAACGGTAATGGTAATGGCAATGGCAGTGGTAATGGAAATGGTAATGGTAATAGGAGTGAGAATGGGAACGGGAACGGGAATGGACATGATAGAGGTAGTGGTAATGGTAATGGCATTGGTAATGGTAATGGTAATGGTAATGGTATTGGGAATGGGAATGGGAATGATAATGGGAATTCTAATGGTAATGGCAGCGGTAATGGTAATGGTAATGGTAATGGGAATGGGAATGGGAATGGAACTGGTATTGGCAATGGTAATGGTAGTGGCGAATGGCAATGGCAATGGCAATGGTAATGGTAATGAAAATCATAATGACAGGGGTAATGGTAATGGTAATGGTAACGGTAATGGTAATGGTAACGGGGTAGCGATTGGCAATGCCAATGACAATGACAATGGCAACGGTAATGGTAATGGAAATGGCATTGGGATTGGCAATGGCAATGGCAATGACAATGATAATGGCCATGGCAATGGCAATGGCAATGGTAAGTGTAATGGTAATGGCAATGGTAGTGGGAATGGGAATGGGCATGAGAATGGGAATGGGAATGGGAACGGGAACGGGAATGGCAGTGGTAGTGGTAACGGAAATGGGAATGATAAGGGTAAGGGTAAAGGTGAAGGGCGAGGTAAAGGTAATGGTAATGGTCATGGTAATGGAAATTATAATGGTAATGGTCATGGGAATGGGAATGGCAATGGAAATGGTACTGACAATGGTAATGGTAGTGGCTAATGGCAATGGCAATGGTAATGCGAATGGTAATGGTAATGACAGAGGTAATGGTAATGGTACTGGTAATGGTAACGGTACTGATAGTGGTAACGGGGTAGTGATTGGCAATGACAATGACAATGGCAACGGTACTGGTAATGGCAATGGCAATGGCAATGGGAATGACAATGGCAATGGTAAAGGCTATGGCAATGGCAATGGCAATGGTAATGGTAATGGTAATGTGAATGGGAATGGGAACGGGAATGGGGATGTGAATGGGAATGGGACTGGGAACGGGAATTGAAATGGCAGTGGTAGTGGTAACGGAAATGGGAATGGTAAGGGTAAGGGTAAAGGTAAAGGTAGAGGTACAGGTAATGGTAATGGTAATGGTAACGGTAATGGAAATGGCAGTTGTAATGTTAATGGTAATGGTATTGGGAATGGGAATGGGAATGTGAATCGAAATGGTAATGGCACTGGCAATGGTAATGGTAGTGGCGAATGACAATGGCAATGGCAATGGTAATGGTAATGGTAGTGGCGAATGGCAATGATAATGCTAGTGGCGAATGGCAATGGCAATTGCAATGGCAATGGTAATGGCAATGACAGTGGTAATGGTAATGATACTGGGAATGGTAATGGTGACGGTAACGGTAATGGTAATGGTTATGGCAATGGTAACGGGGTAGCGACTGGCAATGGCAACGGCGATGGCAATGGTAATGGTAATGGCAATGGCGATGGCAATGGGAATGGCAACGGCAATGGCAATGGCAATATCAATGGCCATGGCAATGGTAATGGTAATGGTCATGGTCTTGGTAATGGTAATGGTAATGGGGATGGGAATGGGAATCGTAGTGGTAATTGGAACGGGAACGGGAATGGAAATGGTAGTGGTAGTGGTAATGATAATGGCAATGGTAATGGTAATGGAAATGGTACTGGTAACGGTAATGGTAATGGCAATGGTGATGGGAATGGGAATTGTAATGGTGATGGCAGCGGTAATGGTAATGGTAATGTTAATGGTAATGGCAATGGTGTTGGTAAGGCTAATGGTAATGGCAATCGTAATGGTAGTGGCTAATGGTAATGGGAATGGTAATGGTAATGGTAACGGTAATGGTAATGGCAACGGGGTGAAGACTGGCAATGGCAATACAATGGCAATGGCAACGGCCTTGGTAATGGCAATGGCAATGGCAATGGCAATGGCAATGACAATGGCAATGGCAATTGTATTGGCCATGGTAATGGTAATGGTAATGGTAAAGGTGAAGGCAAAGATAAAGGTAAAGGTAATGGTAATGGTAATGTGAATGGGAATGGGAATGGGGATGGAAATGGTAATGGTAATGGTATTGGGAATGGGAATGGGAATGGAATGGGAATGGGAGTGGGAGAGATTGGGCGAGAGAGAGAGGAAGCGAGAGAGGAAATATCAGAATGATGATGAGGAGCAACGTGAAAGATCGTAAACAAGTCGTCTGAAACCCACAGGGACTCCACAATCCCCCGGCCTCTCCTCCTCCTCCTCCTCCTCCTCCTCCTCCTCCCTCTTCCTCCTCCTCCTCCTCCTCCTCCTCCTCCTCCTCCTCCTCCTCCTCCTCCTCCTCCTCCTCCTCTAGGTGCGCGCTGGCAGCGCTGGCGGCCTGGCCGCTGGGCGGCTGGCAGCCAGCCCGAGCCGCGCGCGCCTCCTGGCCGCGGAGGGCGGGCTGCTGCACGCGGAGGCTGCGCTCGAGCGCAGAGTGAGGCTGCAGGAGGTCGAGCTCGAGGCCGAGCGCACCCGCACCGCGCAGCTGCAGGAGAGCTGCGAGGAGCACCAGCGGGAGGCCGAGAGCCTCCGGTCCCAGTGCGAGGGCCTCCAGGAGGCCCGTCGCGAGCTGCGCGAGAAGGACAGGTCGTTGCTCGAGCTGCAGGTCAAGGCCGGCGAGGCGCGGCGCTACGAAGAGCGGCTGCGGGAGGAAGTGGCTGCGGAGCGCGCTCACGCGGAGAGCGCGCGCCTGGAGGCGTTCGAGGCGCGCATGCGTGACGAAAGTTCCTGCAAGCTGGCTGCTGCCGAGCGGGCACAGCGCGAGGCCGCGGAGGCGCGCTTGTGCGACGACGTCTGCGCCAAGCTGGCTCTCGCCGCGCAGTCCATGCGCGCGGCTGAGGACCCGTGCTGTCAGCCCCTGAAGGTGGAGGCGCCGACGTGCTCGGACGCCCATCGCTGCCCGCCCACGCCAGAGCCAGCCCCAGCGGAGGAGGCCCGCCGTGCGGTGGTGCCACCCGCGCCGGCCTCCTGCCCGCCGGCGGCGCCAGCTGAGCCACACCTGCTGGCGTGGGAGCCGCGGCGCGGGGCGGCGCCGTGCCCGGCCAAGGTGGCGCCGGTCCCCGCGCTGGGCCTCGGGCCGCTCGCCGCGGCGGGGGCGCGGCGCCCCCTGTGCGAGGTGGCCGCCTGCGCTGCCCCGCCCGCGGTGGCGGCACCGGACCTGCAGCCGCCGCCGGGCCGGCGGTGGGCGCGCGGCGCCGGGGGTGCGGTGGGCCCGGCGGCCGCGCGCGTGGCCGCGGAGCGCGGCGCTCACGCCGCGGCCGCGGGCGCCCGGGCCTCCTGGGAGCTCGCCGAGCTGCGCGGCTTCCTCGAGGGGCGCTTCGGCGGCCTGGGCGGCGCGGCGGAGAGCCTGTTCGCCGGGGGGAGGCAGGCCCTCCGCGTGGAGGCCCTCGCGGCGTGCCTGCGTGCAGCGGGCTACGACGAGGGTGCCGGTGGCTCCGAGCTGCCTCAGCTGCTCCGCTCGTGCTCTGGGCTGGGCGGCGCGGGGGGAGAAGCTGGCATGATCTCGGCGGACGCTTTTCTGAGCGCCTTAGGCGCCGGTGCAGATGCATGATTATGTCTTTGGCCGCGCTGCGCCAGTGGGCGTCGCAGCTGTAGCCATGGTCTGCTCGAGTCCCTGGGGTAGATCGTATTCCGATTCGGTGCAGGGACGAATCGGGCGACCTGGAAATGTGGTGCCCCCCGTGCAGGTCGATCGTGCACTGAGTGTGAGCGCCCATGTGCCCATGTGTGCGGAACCCGAGGCCCTTCGGGTCAGTGAGGGCGGAGTCCAGAAGGATCCCCCGAGATCCGATGTCGTGATTTGTTCTCAAGAGGGGGTCCCTGGAAGTCTCGACGCATTCCCCAGGACCGGTTTCTCATCCTGAGTCGTTTGTTGACGGTCCCGAGGCCCGGCGAGGGCCCTTGGGGGCCGAACTTTGCGAAACACCTCCGTCTTGATGTTTCCAATGCGTCGGTTCTCTGGGTCCGTAGGACAACATCAGGATCCAGGCAGCCACCGCGCAAGCTGCGGCCCACGTGACCATGCGGGTCCAAGCAGGCACCGAGGAGAGTGCGGCCCAGGGGGCCTTGGCGGGAAGTGCGGGCCCCAGGGCCAGCGCCCACAGTCCGAGCACGAGGGCCCCGGAGTGCACGCACTGCCGGGGGAACCACTTACACACAACCATTTTGCAGGAGGGGGGAAGAACACACAGACACAATCAATCGTCGACTCCCAGAACATATAGGGGAATATGGGAATGGGGCGGGAAGACGAAAACCCAGAACAAACTGGGAAGATATGGGAATCTTGTTATTTGTGTGTGCATTGATTTGTGTGTCCTGGGGCCCCTTCACATATCCATGGGGAGGTCGGGGGGGGAGGAGGGCTGGCCATGGGCACGGGTGCGGGTGGTCGGCCCCCCTGGGGGAGACTCCCGCTCGAGGGGGGGCCCCCATCCGACAGCACGCACCCGTAGCCCCGTCCGTTCCCCCTGTGGGTACGGTAGGTTTGCGTCGTGTCGACCAGCGGCGACCCCAGCGCGGGCGTTCAAGGTTGAACGCCGCGGGCGGCCCAGAATCGATCGATGTTGAACGATCGGACGTTGCGGCAGCGGCCGATCGTTCAAGGTTGAACGATCCCTGCGGTGTCAAAAACCAACGCTGGGGTCGGCACGACAGGAACCTGCCGTGTGGGTGTGTGTGTGTGTGTTTTTTGTTCGTTCGTCGCTGCTGGGGGAACGGGGGCTTGCACCGCACGTCCCGCGACATGGAACGCGACGGCGCTCAGCGTCAGAAAGCACGAGGCGAGGCGGCAGAGTCATTCGGGCCGGCGGCAGTGCGTCTGCGCCAGGTTCGGGGGCGGCAAAGAGGGGGGTGATGATTAGGTGTGTGTGTGTGTGTGTGTGGATATCATGGTGAGGGCCATGATATCTCTCCAGATTTCATGGCGCCTCTGCTTACTTCAATACGTCCCTGGTCCCCCCCTGGGCCGCGCACATGCCGCCGGCCATGATTTGGATCCCCCCTCTTGGACGCCCCCCTCCTTGGACGCCCCCGACAGGTCGTCGCCGTGAAGGAGACGGGGTCCCGAGGGAAGGCGGGCCTTCCCGTTGACGTCGTTTTCGGCCTCCCAGGGCTCTCCAGTCCCCTGAGGCTGCCAAAAGGACTCGGGAGGAACATGGGGAGGGAAGCAAAACGCAAGGACACAGAGAATCCCCGATTCCAGGGCAAGTGTGGGAAAAGCTGGTCCAGGGGAACGCCTTGGGGTCCTCATGCAAAGCAACGCAGTGGTGTTCAGATCCACGAGGGCCTTCCTTACAAGTCTACTCACAAGCATACCCATCCCACCGCCTCCAGCCCGAGCCGTCACTGAGCGTGGGAAGTGGGCGAGAGGCCTCTTGGGCGGCTCTTGGAGATTCTTGGAAGGCCTCTTGAGGGCGTCTCGGACGCATGGGGCCTCTTGGAGGGCCTCTCGGAGGGCCTCGTGACCGTCAAAAAGGTTCAAGACGGAGGTTTTTCGCAAATTTCGGCCCCCAGGGGCCCTCGCCGGGCCTCGGGACCGTCAAAAAGCGACCGGATGGGAAACCGGTCCTGGGGAACGGGTCGAGATTTCTGGGGACCCCTTGTTGAACAAATCACGGCATCGGATCTCTGGGTCGTTCAACCGACCCCCATCCCCAGCCTCATTCCCTTCGAGGCCCCCACCGAATGACCACCCCAGTTGGGGGTGCACCCCGCGAAACCCGGAGGGCACGGCCTCTATCCCCATCTAGGGGGGTAGATGGGCCAGTGGGGCCCAGGCCACGCCGCTGGGGGTGGGGATCGGATAAACGATGCTCACGAGCTCCCTGGGGGGCCTTGAGGCAGTCTTGGGGCGACATTCGGGAATTCCGGTGTCGTACTGGACGATCGCGAGGCCGACGCGTGGGCCAACCCCTGCCAACCCCCATGGCCCCCAAAGATCCTCAGGCATCTCGGAGTCCTTCTCACGCGGTGCCATACACCATGGTGAGCTTCTTGGAGGCGTGGAAGTCTGCCCAGAAGGCGTCAGTATTTCAGGGAGCCTTGGGAGCGGAGATTTCGGAGCACTTGCAGACAGACATCCTTCAAGGCCACGCTCCGCAGAGCACGGTGGCGGATCTCCAGATTGCTACAAGAAGAGCGCGCTGGAAGATCGCCGCCGGGACCTCGACTCGGTCTGGCCTGTCTTTCTGTTCCTGGCGTGTCGGTCGAGGATTCCACCAGAGGTGCAGAAGGAGAGTTCTGCGAGGGGGACGGGGCCTCCGGGGACACCCAGGCCGGCGGCCGTTTCTCCGGAGACGTCCTCGCAGCGGTCGGCCTAAGCTTCAGTCGGGCGTGTCCCTCTACAGGGGGAATGTTGAAACATGGTCCCAAAATAGTCAGGGGACGTTTTCTGTTGTTTTTTGTTTTTGTGTTTTTGCATTTTGATGTGTTTTGGTATTGTTTGAGTGCTTCTCAATTTCTCGCCCAACATCCGCCAGAGTCGGGGGACATGCCCGACCTAAACCTAAGCGATGTTTCGGCGATCTCGTGGGCCGTTTTCGTTTTGATTATGTCTTGCAGCGAAGGCGACACGAAGACACAGCAAGGAACAACGAAATATATAAAACGAGCACGAACAACACTGTTGTGGTCGAGCGCTGCGTCCTCACAATTAGTTCAGGAATCGTGTTCTCGCCTGCTTGCCGCATACTTGTTGGGTCCCAACGGCCACGACACCCCTTGTAACACGACTGAGGTGCATCTGGCCGCGCTCAGGTGCCATTCGTCAGAGGAGGAAAAAGGTACTCATACCGCGACCCTTCCCTCGTTGTCCCCTTCTTGGGGCCTCCTGGGAGGCCCTCGTCGCGCCCTCGTCGCCACCGCTGGATTCGCCTCGAACTCCTGGTCAGAACGCACCCTGGCAGAGGTCTTGGGAGTAGCGGTATCGGTACCTTTTGGTGTTCCCAATTCGGTTGTTTTGCTAAGGTTCAGTCGGGCCTGTCCCTCTACAGGAGGAATATTCAAAAATAGTTTAAAAAATACTCTGGGGACGATATTGTGTGCTATTTTCACTATTTTGACATACTTTTTGGGGTACGTTTTTGTTTTTCGTCCAAAATCCCCCTGTAGGGGGACAGGGCCGACCTCATGCCCGACCTCATGCTAAGGTCACTGCGCCCCTGCGTTGCGCTGCTTCTTCGGGGGACCTCGTCCGTCCCCGAGTGCTGTGCTCGTGCCTGGCGCGCGCTCGGTGCGGACTCGCCTCGGATCCGGCCTGGGCTCGGCGCGGATCCGACGTGCCTTCGGCTCGGATCTGACGAGTCCGACGTGCCTTCGAGACGGTGCCGACGCGGGCAAGGGCGCGACGAGCCAGACAGAGTCCTCCGCACATGCAACATTCTCTTGGCGTTGCCCAGATGTCCGAATACTCCTGTGTGCGCCGCCCCCCAAGGGGTCGACGCACGCGCCGAGGGATCTTGCAGTACATGCTCGGCAGCAGGCGCTTTCTGGCTATACCGTCCGGTCAACGATAGACTGCCATGCTACAAGATGTTCGTTTTACACGCTCGGTTCGGACGGGCGCGCCTCCAACAGCAGCGTACAGTACTACAGTCGGGGCGCCAAACAAGGAACCCTTTTCGTTTGTCAGGGGCTCCGTGTTCCTTGATTGTTTCGCAGCTTGCCTGAGATTATCCCTAGGTTTCGATACGAAATCGAAGTTCCACTTATGGAACATACGGGCCTCGTTCCTCACTTAGGGTTCCTTAGGTCAACGCCTCGACTCTAGCCTGACCTCTCGCGTCCCCACGCAGGCCAGCCGCGCAAGTGCACGCTGTTGCCTTCGCCACCGTCGGTGCGCTGGCTGCCCGCGTGAGGTCGCGCGCAGGCGCCCGTCGTCTCCGCTGCAGCGTGCCGCGCGGGCGGCCCGCGGAAGCTGCGGCCGGAGGCCGCCGTGCCGCCTCGCGTAAGACGAGGAGGAGGAGGAGGAGGAGGAGGAGGAGGAGGATGAGGAGGAGGAGGAGGAGGAGGAGGATTATGAGGAGGAGGAGGAGGAGGAGGAGGATTAGGAGGAGGAAGAGGAGGAGGAGGAGGAGGCCGCCGCGCCGCCTCGCGAAAGACCCGGGCCTCGACCTGGCGCTCGGTTCTCTCCACGCCGCCGCCGGCGTGCTCAGAGCACCGAGGCATCGCTCGGCGTCGCTCGGCGTCGCTCGGCGCTCAGGTGGTCAGCCACGCCCTGCTCCTGGAGGACGTCTTCAGCCCGCGCTGCGGCGTGCTCCGGCTGCAGGGCCCGGGCCCGGCGCCGGCGCCCCCGGCGGATGGGCCGGTTTTCCACCACCGCCGCCAGAAGTTGGAGGGGGGAGGGGCTCCTCCTCCTCCTCCTCCTCCTCCTCCTCCACATTTATGTTCGGCAATCTCACGTGTATTGGCGGGAAGTCTTGGAAGTACATTTTCAATGGCAAATTCGATTACGTGGGAGTGGTCGAGACTCACGTCTCTGAGTCCGACGTTGCATCTTGGGCCAAGAAGGCTCGACGTGCGGGCCTCGATTTTGGCGAAACCCCGCGAGGGGCAGGGAGAAGCGAGTCTCACAGCAGCAGCAGGCGAGGTCCAACGAGGGGGGCGAGTGGGTGCTCTGCAAGGGCCAGCTGCAGGCGCGCACGTTGCTCTCGCAAGCAGGCGCCAGGCCTCTCCGAGCTGCTGGTCATCGGCATCTTGACGGGTTTCAAGCAGTGGTTGTACACGTGTGCGGCTACAGCGTCGCCATCATCAGCTTCTACGGGCATCCTTCGGCGGGTTCCAGAGGCCCCAGCGAGGCCAGGTACAAGAAGCTGGGCTCGCTGCTGAACATCCCGAGCATTCCGTGGATCGTCATCGACGGCTCAACATCAATACAGACAGTATGGAGAAGTCCAAGTTCTTGAAGCGGTTGCATGGGCGCCCCAGCGTTATGCGAGCAGACATCGAGGTCACTTGTAACCAGGGCTTCAAGGGCTCACGCATCGACTATCTCATCGTTTCGGAAACAGCGCAGTTTTACATCGCAGCAGTCTCTCCAGTGGTCGCGGTCCCATGGGAACCTTACGTGGGTCTCCTTGTACATCTACGACGGCCAGGCCAGCAGCTGCAAGCACGGTGTCTAGATATGCCCCGCAAGCTGCCGCAAGCTTTGCGCCCTCGAGTTGCCCTCACGCCAGGCTCCAAGATCAGCCGTGCGAAGGCAAAGAATGATGAGCGCAGCCGCCAGCGCAGCTCCGCAAGGAAAAAGCAGTTTGCTGCTTCCTTCAGTGATCTCTTGCAAGCGCCTGAGGTTGAAGGTAATCCCGACCCCGACGAAACTCGGAGTGACGCTAGTTTTGAATACCACGATGGTCCCGAAAGTGAGGACCTGGATGAGGCAGGTTTTGTTTCTGAAGGGGGACCCGTGGGCCCACGACTATGAGTTTAAACCGATTGTGCAAATAGATGGAAAAGGGCTCCCCGCGAAGTCTGGTGATTCCCGAAGTAGTGTCGACCCCAAAACTTTGGGCACGGTCCCCCCGGGCCTCAGGTTAGGCGGTCTTCGCGCGATACAGACCCAGTAATTATGCCCCAAGCCCCCCCCCCGGCATCTCAGTGCAGCGGTATTTCAAAACCCGACGTTTCACCAACCCATGATGTTCCTCCTCCTCCTCTTCTCCACCTCCTCCTCCTCCTCCCCCTCAGTCTGAGGCCGAAGTCGACTTCTATATCCCTGAGGCTACGTGGCTGGAGAGTGAGAGGCAGATGGGTTTCACCCCAGATGGCGATATTCCTCCATCCCCCCCCATTCCTCTGCTCCATGACTTCTTGGCTCGGCCCGCCTGCCGCCGTGCAGGCCATTTCTTCATTGTGCGCGTCCTGGGTGAGCACCGTTGAGTTCGCCATTCGCACGCATCACAATGTGCAGGACTCTCCTGGCATCGCGAGGCGCGATGGTCCCAGGTTTCGTATCGATGGTGCTCACCAGCAGGAGCGGCACAGGCAGACTCCTGAGATTGATGTCCTGTCGGGATGGTGGACGCGAGTTCACGCGCTGCTTGCTGGCCTGACACGACATTTTCAACGTGGCAATCGGCATCGTCAACGTCGCCGTTTGCTGGAATCCCTCGGCAAGCATATCAACGCTTGCCCAGAGAAAGCACACGTACTATTGCGGAGCAAAGAACATCCTGGAGTAAGTGACAACACGTCTTTTTTCTCGGCTCATCCTGGACGGGACTGAGATCGATCAGCAGCAGCTTCAGTTGTATGCGGTTTTGTCTTGCAAGATCTCGGCCAGATCTGAACGGCGCGCCATCGCGGTGGCTATGGCAGATTTCAGTTCTTGGGTGGAGAAGGACGCGGCCTTGGGCAAGCTTCCCCGCAGCATTCGCCAAGACTGCAGTTCGCCAAGAGCTGAGAGTGAACGGGCGGATCCTCTACCAGCCTCTGGACATCGTCGACCGCGAGGGTGGGCGGTGGAGGGAGCTGTGGACGCGCGCCGAGCCTGACAATGGGGCCCTCCTGGAGGCCTTTCATCGGGCTCGCGAGCGTGCCGGCTTGGAGCCTCTCCCCGACATCTCAGGGGAGGGCGTTCGGCGCGCGGCGCGGTCCATGTCATTTGTGGACTTAGAACGCCTGCCTCTCGCAGCGCTGGATGCTCTTGCCGTGCTGCGCATGGCCATCGAATCGGACATAGCACGGCTGCATCGGATCATGGTGACCGCGGGGGGGCTGTCCCCGAGGAAGACGAAGGGCGACATAATAATTTGTTTATTTCTATGTTCAGCAGAATATGGAGCCTTGCGAGGGAGCCCGAGGTGAAGCGCTGGTCCGAGGCATCGGCGCTTCACTGGGACGCAGCAGTGCGAGGTAATGCCGCGTTGTGCGAAGCTCTCATCGGAGCGCTCGAGGAGGAGGTTGGGCACCAGCTCGGCATTTCCTCAGGCGGCGGGCTGCTTGACATCGACGGCTTCTACGACAATGTTATGTGGGGGTACCTGGTGCCGAAGGCATGGCAATCGGCTTTCCTGCTGCCATTCTGTGCCTGGAGGTGCTCCAGAGCGCGGCGCCGAGGAGCCTTGGCCAGAGCAGCTCGTGGGCTCTGCCGATTGAGCCCACTCAGTCGGCGGTCCAGGGGCTGCGCAGTGGCGCGGGGCTTGGGCGCATCGTGATATACTACGTTCTCGACAAAGTGCGTTCAGCTCGCCCTCGGATGGGCCACCGAACATGGGCGCGTAATCTGGCCCAGCGTGCAAGCGGGTCTCGTGGCCAGGTCCGCCAGCAGCTCACATCGAGTTTGCAGGAGACTTGTCGAGGTTCGGCTTCGATGAAGTTACGAGCGGCGAGCAAGAGCATCGCGATTCGCCCCCATCCCCCCGACGCGATCAAGGTCGCCAGGGCCTTGGTTCGTCGGGGTTCCATGTCCGAGCTGAACGGTCTGCTGGATATCTAGGTTCGGACCTCGGGCGCGGAGGCCGTCGTTCGAGCTTCTCGTCGGCAGCGGGCGGCCAAGTATAAGACGATGCGCTCCGATGTGCGGCGCGTGGCCCGCGCGGGGCGGAAGTGCGTGGTCTTCCCCTCCGAGCTTGCGCGCTTGGGAGCCCCTGCGGCGGGCTCGCGCGGCTTCCAGATCCACGGGGTCTTCGGCGTTCACGTGCAGCAGTGCAGGCAGCGCTCGGGGGCGGCCATGGCCGCGCCTTCCCGTGGGCGATGCCTCCCGGCGCTGCTGGCCATCGAGCCGCCTGCCGATCCCGCGCTGAGGCTGCCTGAGGAACGCCTTCGTTCTTGGTTCAGAGCTTGGCAGAGTGAGCCCTCCTTGCGCCCAGGATCATGTAGGAGCATGTCGCATCTGGCCTTCGCTCGCGGAGACGTTTCGAGGGATGCAGCCCGAGCAACGATCTCGCCATATACGAGGCCCAGTCTCGGCTATCGTCTTTATTTTACTCAGTCATGGGTGGGATCCAGCTCCCGCTACAGATTGGACTAGGCCATCTGAGACCGCTGAGGGGGAGACAGTTGAATGGTATTTCCCCGACAGTGCGTGGGAAGGCTGGCCAGGTGTGGACGATCCTGGAAGTTTAGTCTGCGATGTTCAGTTTTAGATGTCGCAGCAATTCTGGCGAGATGCAGCTCGGCGACTCTGCGGGGAACCGTGGGGGGGGGGGCATCGGTTGCGTTTCCCTCCGTTGACTTCGCGCGCAGTTGTTGAGCTTGGGCTGCGGTGGCAGATTCTCAGAGCTTCTTGTCACAGTTGCTGCAGGGGCCTCGTGGCCTCGCGTGCGTCGACCAGGAGCAGCAGGTGTTAGAGGGGTTGAATTGGATCAGATGTGCCCGCGATGCGGAGGGAAGAAGGAATGCCATATTCATCGCATATGGGGTTGCCCGCGCAGCACAGGGGGGCCCCAGCATATGAGCATTCCGACTGTCTGGTGCAGGAAGCATACGCATTTTGGGAATCCGTTGAATGTTTCTGGCTCCGACGTTTGTTGCCGTCGAGCTGGGTCAGCATCGTTCCACCACCCGAGGGGGAAGTCTGGTTCTCGTCAGCTTGCGCCACCAACGATTCGGGTCCAGTTCGGCTCGGCACAGGGACACGGCATCAGCCCTTATATCTCTTTGGGGGGTGCTAGTGGCGGCAAGTTTTCGAGCGGTTCGAGGTTCAGACGGGTCAGCCTCGCAGTCGCACCTGCGTCTTGCTTCGAGCCTCCCACTGCGGCCGCTGCGGCTACTGAGGCTCTGACTGGCCCCCGCCAGTCGGTGCCGCGAGGCGAGTTGCGAGCCCTGCTTTTGGCGGCAGGGTATTCGACGGGCTCCGTGGTCTACGTCGCGGGCAACCAGAACGTGGCGAATGGTTGGACCGAGAGGCGCTACCTGCAGCCAGAAGGTGTCGATGCAGATGTTTGGCACCGTTTGGGCGCGCAGTTCAGGCAAGGAGATCCATCCACCTTTGCGGTGTTATTCGCCAACTCGCATTTGAAGGCCAGTGGCGTCATGACCCGGCGCTTTCCTGTGTGGATGATCTTCGGAAATGCAGTTGTTGACGGACGTTCTTGCCACTGCTGCTGCAGAGAGGTGCCAAGTCTCTTCGAGCGATGCCTATCGTGTCGCGTCGTGGGAAAAGAAGGTTTTCTAGGACCGATTACGTCTTCTCAGAGCCGCGGTCGACACGCTTGGACGGGAGAAGGAGTGGCAGGGGCCTGGCGCCAGGAAGAAGTCTGAGCCCCCTCCCCCCTCCCGCTCCGTCTGTAGTGCAAGTGTTCACCACAGGCCACCGCCTGGCAGAGTGCAGACGTCGTTGCTTCCGTTGTTGTAGCTCCGCCGCGATCGCCCGTCAGTCGGTGTGGAGAGACACGCCTTGTTTCCAGCCGTCGTTTGTCAACGGTGTGGTTTTCGGGGCACCGTCAGGGGCAACGCTGCACATAGCTGGGGGGTGGGTGCATGTAACATATATGATGCGTGTGCATGGTACCCTCAAGCTCTGGTTCTGTTCGCGCTGCGGGTATTTTGCTAGTCGAGCGATCAGAGGCCTTGGACAGACGTGCCCCAAGGCTCCCCATCCCAATCGGGCCGAGAGTATCTAATGGCCCAAGATTTTGAGTCGGGCCGAGCTCGTTCGTCGGGATTCTTAGGTCTTTGAGATTCGTTTCGCGACTGGTCTCAGCCACTCACTCCTCCTCCTCCTCCTCCTCCTCTTCCTCCCCCTTCCTCCTCCCCTCCTCCTCCTCCTCCCTTCCTCCCCCTTCCTCCTCCTCCCTCCTCCTCCTCCTCCTCCTCCTCCTCCTCCTCCCCCCCCTCCTCGTCCTCCTTCTCCTCCTCCTCCTCTCCTCCTCCTCCAGTTCTCCCCCTCCCCCCCTCCTCTCCTCCTCCTCCTCCTCCTGCTCCTCCTGTTCGTCCTCCTCCTCCTCCGCCTCTTCGTCCTCCTCTTCTTCCTCCCCCCTCCAAGTGATGGTGGTGGTGGTGGTGGAAAACAAGGCCCATCAACGGCGCCGCCGCGCCTCTGGGGCCGCAACTGCGAAGTCCACGCCTGTGCGTTGAGGGGCGGCGGCGGCGCTCCGGGCCAGCCCTGCGCCGTGGGCCGGTGGTTGCCCCTGGAGCGCGTGCTGAAAGGATCGGCGGTCCTCCTCCTCCTCCTCCTCCTCCTCCTCCTCCTCCTCCTGCTCGTTCTCTTACTTTCTTCCTCGTTTTCCTCGTCCTTCTCCTCCTCTTCCTCCTCCTCCTCCTCCTCCTCATCCTCCTACCTCCTACCTCCTACCTCCTCCTCCTTCTCCTACTTCTCCTCCGCCTCCTCCTCCTCATCCTCGTCCTCCTCCTCCTCCTGCTCCTCCTCCTCCTCCTCGTCCTCCTCCTCCTCCTCCCCCCGTCCTCTTCCTCCTCCTCCTCCTCTTCAGTCGGTGGTCCAAAGTTCTGAAACAAACATACACACACGAAATGTTGGTGCTCCGCGCGCCAGTGATGAGGGTCCAGCGCGAAACCAAGAAATCCGCGCGGAGCTTATGTTCATGCGGTTTGTTATTCCTTTAACGATGGGGTCCTGAGGGATGTGGACCTAATGATAGGAATGTATCCTTCGGTCACAAATCGTGGGAGCCTGGTATACACCCTTCGTTCAGTCGTCTGTGTCGATTGATATCGGTTAATATCTGGAGATCGATGAGGCAATGCCGGTTCAGCGTCGGTTAGCTTCGATTCGCGTCGATTTAGCGTCGATTAGCGTCGACTAGCGTCGATGTGCGTCGATTCGCAAGGGCCGACAAGATGGTATGGAAGGTTCCCATGGGTTGCAACCTAAGGGTGGCATGGTGGACTTGTGTTGTTTGCGGCACAGTCCTCCACACGGAAATCCCTGAGGACCCCATCTTGGGACCGCCGACTCAGAGGACGAAAGGAAAGGGGTCCATGCCGCTGCCCTTCGCTCGTTTTCTTCGCCCTTCTGGGCCTCCTGGGGATGCCTTCCGTCGCCACGTTTGGATGCGCGCCTCGAAGGGTTGTGGTCATGAGCGCGCCCCAGGAGGGACCCCGGGGAGTAGCGGCACGAGCCCGCCAGAGAGGGACATGGGTTCAGGGCGGGGAGGCCGGGAGGGAGGAGGAGGAGGAAGGCGGATGAGGAGGAGGAGGAAGAGGAGGAGGAGGCGGAGGAGGAGGAGGGGGCAGAGGAGGAATAGGAGGAGGAGGAGGAAAAGGAGGACAAAGGGGGGGAGGGTTGGCAGGTCTATCGCTCTTGGAAGCGTCCCATGCTGGCTTGAGCCACGAGTCTCCCCCTCTTTCGGGGCCCAAGAGACGGGGGTCAACGCAACTGGGGGGGTCAGTCAGAGCGCCGGACCTTGCAGGATCCTGCAGGTTAGGGCGCAGGATGCTGCAGGATCTTGATTGGCCCGGGTCTTGATTGGCCCAGGTCAGTGCGTCCCCGACCTCCTGTTTCCGTCTCTCTCTCTTTCTCTGGTGAGCCCAGGGTCGTTGCTGCAACACCGAGGTGTCCTCTAGAGGGTGGTTCACCCGCGAGCTGTCCTTCTCCTGGTGCCTCCGCCACGCATGTGTCTCCCCGCGCGCGCACCGTCCACGCGGTTCGGGAGCGAGGGCGGACGGCCACGGGGGGGCACCCCACGTGGGGGGGGGGGGATCGAAGGTGGCAGGGTCGCGGCCCAGGAGGGGCCCGAATCCGCCACCGCGGGACCAGGGTGCACAAGCGGCGCACGTTGCTTCACCCCGCGTTTTGCGCCCCCCCCCCCCCCCCCCCCCCCCCCCCCTCCCCCCCCCCCCTTCCCCCCCTCCCCCCCCCCCCCCCTCCCCCCCCCCTCCTTCCCCCTCCCCCCCCTCCCTCCCCTCCCCCCGCCATCCCTCCCCCTCCACGAGCACCCGAGGGATGGAGGGAGGAGCTCCGAGAATCACTCGCAAGTGCAGGGTGGTGGTGATGGCGGGAAGAGGTCGCTCGGCATCAGCAGCTGGCGTGAGCGCGCAGTCAATTGGAACAGTTTGCTGTATTGCGAGAAGGCGCGGCGGCATTCGCACTGATTTGTAAGCGACTGCCTTACTTCCTGTATGTCGCCTGAGAATTTCAAGGGAGAAAATTGTTTTGCCACATGTCTCCGTCCATGGTTTCTCTTTCCTTTTCGTCCTCATCTGCCTCCGCCTTTCTTCGTATCGCCGCTTGGCAGTATGTTCGCAGCAAGTGCAGTCGTCTTGTCGTAAAGGTGCCTGGGAGTCATGAGCCAGACTGTTGTGGGGCTTTGCTAAAGGTTTTCCTGTCCTTTAGGAACCGTTCTGGTCAGGCCTTGTCCAGCTGCTAGAACGTGGCCTCGCTCGGACGTGTGCATTTTTCCTTGGCGAGGGCAATCGAGGAGCATAACGGGATGATCGAGCAAAACGAAAAAACAACACGTGCGAACACGAACCATGCCACGGGAATGGACGTCCGAGCCATGGCAAGTTTCTTTCTCAGCATTGCAGTCATCGTGCTGGCATAAGGAATGCCCAATGAACAGCGACATGGACTTTTCTGGCCTCGACAGGCCTAGGTTTAAGTCGGGCCTGTCCCTCTACAGGGGGGATAGTCAAAAATAGTAAACAAATAGTCTGGGTACTATGTCTGGAGTATTTTTGATCATTATATATATATATATATATATATAGATATATTTTTCAGTTTTCGTCGAACATCCCCCTGTAGGGGGACACGCCCGACTTAAGCCTACGCCACAGAGAGGTTTCACGACAGAAGTCTCCCCGGTACGGCCCGAATCGGACGGCATCGGCACGGAGTCGGAGTCGAGTCGGATCGGCTGCGCCAAGATGCATAACAGCGCCGTGCAAGCATCGGGCGGCATCGCATTGCCCGATCGCATCGAATCGCTTCGGGCTGGATCGCTTCGGGCTGGCCAGAGCCTGCATCGAATCGCTTCGGGCTGCCCAGAGCCTGCATCGAAGCGGATCGACCGGATCGAGATGGGCCTCACTCCGGCCCCGTCTGGGGGGGGAGTGTCTTTTGGCCTTTCGGCTCACGGTGTCCGCCCGCCTGTCAGGTCCCCGCGTTGCGCGCACCAGCACGCACAGCGGGCGGGCGCTATTGTTCGGTCGGGCCTGTCCCTCTACAGGAGGAGTATTCCAAACTAGTCACAAATGGCCTGGGGACGATGTTTTAAATAATGTTTGGGCATTTGGGAATTATTTTTGAGTATCCTAAATTTTTGTTCCAAAATCCCCCTGTAGGGGGACAGGCCCGACCTATCGCTATTGTCGAGGTTGCGGCCATCGCCATGGCGTGTTCTGGCACCTATTCCAAAGGCGTGCTCATCCACAACCACAATGAGGACCGCTTTGGCGAGGACTTCGATGGGCTCTCCCAGGGCGGGATTCACTCCTTGCAGTTGGGGCAGGCGCAGCGATGCATGAACGCGTCCCAGCCGTCCGAGCTTCCGTCTCATGAGTCCAGCCATGCGACTCCAGATTCTGACGGCCAGGACGTGTTCGGACGGGGCTAGGACGAGGATCAAATTCTTTTCAGAGCCACCCGGAACGCTCTCAGAGCGATTCGGAACGCTCGAGAAAGCCGCGGCGCCCGAGACATTCTCCAGATTTGTGGGATCTAAGAGATTCTTCTGGCTACGTCTTACCCGAATTTTCCCCCACCCGATTCTGTCAGGGATCTCAGAGAGTCAGGGATCTCAGAGACTCCGGGATCTCAGAGATTCTCCTCACCCGAAGTGATCCTCGTCCTGGCATCGTTTCACGTGTGCACGGCCTGTCCCACAGCATTGGATGTGATGTGCCCCCCGCCCCTGGCAGGGCCTGTCAGGATCTGCTGAAGATGCCGAGGAGTGTGGATGCGCCTGTGGTCAGCGTTTCCCACGCGGTGCACGGCTGGAAAGAACCAGACAGGGACAGACTCGAAGAGGGAAAAACGCCATAAACACAAACGTTTGGCGCTCCGCGCGGGTTTCTTGCATCCGCGCTTGCCCCCCGCCCCCTCCCCGCGACACCGCGTGCCAGGGAGGGGGGTCAAGCGCAGGTCCAAGAAGTCCGCGAGGAGCGCCAAACGTTTCTGCTCATTGCCTTGTTTTTCCTTCTTCTGGAGACCCCCCGAGACGGCCGCCACACAGCACGTGGAGCGCCACCTGTTCTTCGGTCCTCCTCCTCCCTCCCATCCTCCTCCTCCTCCTCCTCCTCCTATTCCTGCTCCTCTCCTCCATCCTCCCCCTCATCCCTCCTCCTCCTCCTCCTCCTCCTCCTCTTCTTCCTCCTCCTCCTCCTCCTCCTCCTACTCCCCCCCTCCTCCTCCTCGGTCACTCTGGTGACATGCGCGATCCCACCACGAGCCTGAAGAAGACGGACTTCCTCACAAACACCGCCTACTTCATGCGGGATCCCGCGACAGTCGCCGCGGGCATAGGGAAGATCACCGCGGACGGGTTCTCGACCGCGGACCCGGACGCGACGGTGGCCCCGAAGCAGAGCTACCTTGCAGATCGGCAACGTGCCGGTTGGGGCAAAGGCGGCGACATTTGAATCGAAACACTACGTTTTAGTCGGGCCTGTCCCTCTACAGGAGGGATACTCAAAATTCGTCAAGAAATAGTCTTGGGACGATCTTCTGACCATTTTATTTTGAGCATGTTTGGGATATTTCTTGACTACTTTTAATTGTTCAAGCGGAATTCGCCTGAAGGGGGACGTGCTGGACCTGACTCTTTGTTTTGGCAGCTTCGGGGCTTGGGAAGGCGGGGGCTTGGGAAGGCGAGACGTTCCGCGGCGAGGGAGCCAGGGGGTGGGTGCTGGTGAGCAAGTTGCAGGGAGGATGCATGGCTGGCCTTGCCCGCTGATTCGGCCCACCCGCCCGCACTGTCTCAGCCCCGCCAAGGCAACACGCACGCGCCAACGGCATCAGATCGCTTCACGACCACCAACGCAGCGGACCTGCAAGGGGGCCTGTTGGAGAAGCTGGGCCCTAGCGAGGCGCGTTTCTCTCGGAAGAGAGCGGACATCACCAGCCACGTGGATAAGGCCCCCAAGAGGGGGAGAATGGAGGAGGAATCAGAAGAGGAGGAAGAGGAGGAGGAGGAGGAAGAGGAGGAGGAGGAGGAGTGGGAGGGGGAGGGCGAGGAGGGAAGAGGGAGGAGGAGACGAGGCATAAGCGGATGATGATGATGATGATGATGATGATCATCATCATCATGATCATGATCATGATGATGATGACAATGCCGATGACGATGATGATGATGATGTGATGATGATGATGGCGATGATGATGATGATGATGATGATGATGATGATGATGATGATGATGATGATGATGATGATGATGGTGATGATGATGATGATGATGCTGATGCTGATGCTGATGCTGATGCTGATGCTGATGCTGATGCTGATGATGATGCTGATGCTGATGAGGAGGAGGAGGAGGAGGAGGAGGAGGAAGAGGAGGAGGAGGAGGAGGAGGAGGAGGAGGAGGAGGGTGACATAATGGCCAGAGGCCTCTTGGATGCCTCGGAGTCTCTTCGGATGTATCTTGGGAGCTTCTTCTCGGAGCCCTCTTGGGACGTGGTGGGGGACTTTTGGCGGATCTGGGCCCTCTTGGAGCGTCTTGGGTGCCTCTCGGGGCCTCTTGGGGATCGCTTGGAAGCCTCTTCGGGACCTCTTGGTGGCCTCTTGGGGCCTGCTGGGTCCCTTTTGGGGCCCCCTTGGAGCACTCTTGGGAGCCTCGGTCCTTTCTTGAGCCCATCTTGGACGACATCGATCAAAGAGGGGTACTCAATCAGCCTCGCCCCTATGGAGCCCCTAAGTTCGCCTGTTGGACCCCTCTTGGACCGCTCTTGGAGGACTCGCGGGTGCTCAACACCGGGCCGGACTCGGCCGGGCTGGTGGAGACAGCTGCGTGAGCACCGCCCTTCCCTGAAGATTAGCAGGCCAATCTGGCCAATGTTTCGGGCATGAGCTCATGATGATGGGCCTGTTTTCCACCACCACCACCACCATAAGTCGGAGGGGGAGGGGGTCCTCCTCCTCCTCCACCTCCTCCTCCTCCTCCTCGTCCTCCTCCTCTCCGTCCTCCTCCTCGTCCTCCTGCTCCTCCTTCCCGCCTCCAACTTATAGGTAGTGGTGGAGGAAAACAGGCCCATCACATGAGGTAAGCTGATCCGCTGCCGAGCAATGCACTCAACAGCCTTCCCCCTGAGAGTCGCTGCACGGGGACCGCACGGGGGCCCTGCCGCCCTGAGCCCGCAGACGGGGGAGCCACGCCGGGCTCCCCTGCGGGAGCTCCGCCCGCCAATCCAGCGACCATGGGCCAGGGGGAGGAGGAGGAGGAGGAGGAGGAGGAGGAGGAGGAGGAGGAGGAGGAGGAGCAGGAAGTGGCACGTGGGGGCCCTCTGGGGGCCTTGGGGGGGGCGCCGCAGGAGAGCCTCTGGGGGCCTCTCGGGGGCTCTGTGGGCCTCCGGGGGCGTTGGACCAGCTCAGGGCGCTCCTTGGCCCGTCGGACACCGCCGGAGGCTGTCTCGGGGGCCTCTGCGGGCCGTCTTGGAGGTGTTTTGAGCCGTCTTGGGCCCTCTTGAGGCCGTCTTGGGTTGCTCTTCGACCGATCTTGGGGTCGTCTTGGGGCCCCTGTGCGCTCCTCTTGGGGCTCCCCGGGGGCCATCCGGCCGCCATAGCGAGAGCTCAGGGGCCCGTCGGAAGCAAGAAGGCGAGAATGCCATCGTCACGTCTTCGTTTTGGGTGTTGAAGGGTTTTGGCCTCTCGGGGGTCTCTGGATTGGAGGGTCGCTCCGAAGGCCTTAGGCGACCCGTCCTCCTCCTCATCCTCCTCCTCCTTCTCCATTCGTTTTCCTTATGACAACTTCTCCCTGCCGCCCCCCGAGGCGAGCTTTTAGGGCGGGCCGGGCGTTTCTCCTGCGACTTCTTTATGGCCCTGCAGATTCAAAGTTGGCAGCAGCTTCACAGAGAGAGGGCGGGTCGTTTTCAGAGTGTGGCTCTCGCCTCAGCGCGGCGCAAAGTTTTTTTTTATTTTCATTTGTTTTTTTTGTTTTTGCTTGATTTTAAAAAGATGCAATACTTTCACGGATCGAGGGCGGGTGGTTTTGAACATGTGGTTCTCGCTTGCGCGCCGCGCACATCCCTTTTGTAACTTTGCAACGGTTTCACGCATTGAGGGCCGGTAGTTTTCAGAATGTAGCGCTCGCCTTAGCGCCGCGCACGTTCGTTTACAGTCCCACCATCAACATGCCAGACATTTTTTTGTTTGAAGGGTTCAGGATGATGCGGGTGCAACAGTTACGTTGATTATTTGTGCTGCAGTCCTAGAAATGGCGTTCTGGCACGATTCAGGATCGTCAAGACGCAGCAATCAGGTTGATCCGTGGCGTTGTAATCCCGAGAACAATGTTTTGGCATGCTTCAGGGTCTTCAAACGGGTGTCTTCCAACGAGGCAGTTCCATCAATGGAAATGAACTGTTGTAGGGGCCTATGAAGAGGGAGCTTGGAGGGAGGGTTTAGCCCAACATCGTCGATGATTCTTGGGTTTACAAATGTCCTCCTCCTCCTCCTCTTCCTCCTTCTCCTCAATATCCTCCTCCTCAATCTCCTCCTCGTCCTCCTCCTCTTCCTCCTCCTCCTCCTCGGGTCGCCTACGGCCCCAGGAGGAACCGTGCACTCTGGATTGCCTTCTTGGGCCCTCTTGGGCCTCCTTTCGGGGCAGCGTGGGCCGTCTCGAGGCCATCCGGAGCAGTCTTGGGGCCACCTGTGGCCGTCCAGCGCCGACTTGATGCCACCCTTGGTTGTCCTGGGGTCCTCTGGGGCCGTGCTGAAATTTTGGTCGTGGGGTCCTCTGGGTCCTCTGGGGCCGTGGTGGACGCCGCCCAGGACCCCGTACCCGGCTCACGCACGAGCTGCTGGAGAGGCGCGAGCCTGCCCCCCTTCACCAGCCTCGAACGTATCCCTATCCCTAAGATTGACACGCTAAAAGGGGATGACAATCTGAGGGATGCACCCTCAGAAACTGAGGAAATCCCTAAGATCGCTGTCGTGATGAGGCGATGCCCAACATAGGGATAGGGATATGTTCCAGGCTGGTACCCCCTTGCCTCCCCGCAGGATTGGCCAACTAGGCGGCTGGCCAGCATTGTGGCCAGTGTCCCCGCAGAGCTCGTACGCGGCACAGGGCCCGCAGGGGGCCCCGCAGCATGGGTGCTCCGAGTATCCCCACGGAGCCATTCACAAAGGATTCCCACGCGAGTTGCCCTGAGCAGGGAAGTGTCGCAGCACGGAGTGGAACGGAGGGATGGCGCCGTGAAGCCGAACCTCAGACTCAGCTTC